CAGAGATTATTATCAATTAGTAACTAAATAAGTCAACGTATATGGGAAATAACAGTATGTAAAAAAATTGTACATATTCAAGAGGATTAACAACCAATTAGTTAAGTGGTGAATAACTGATAGGAAACAAGATAACGAAGGTTTGGAAACGAGTTGCTAAAAAATTTTTTTATTAATTAAAGGACTACATGGAGTTTATACTGCCACAATTCGGAAAACTACGATTGACACTAAGGCCATTGTAGTAATTTTTATTTGATTCTTTTGAAATGCTACCTAGTCAACTCTATGTAGTCATTCCGAGTAGAAAAAAGAGCTTCGGTAACGATGGTGTTGTTTTTACAAGCTAGGGTTGCTGTACAGCTTTTGAAGTGAAGTTATGAATATGGATCTGTTTGTTGATTTATGTGTTCCTGAATTGATTAACACCCAAATAAATTAAAACCAACATTTCAGAATCCATACAAACTTGATCATTTCAAACTCGAGTTATTTGCTTCAAAAGCACTATTGCGTTCCTAGACAGTGCCTTAAATCTTAACGAAGTTCATGTTATTTGCTACACCACTGATGTGAACTAACAACTATTGACAAAGGCAATGTCAACAGCAGATTTCATTTTGTGATTCTCATATTTGTACCTATCAATAGAGGCATCATCTCAGAAAAATAATATCTAATATTTCCAACAGTCATTTTTACATCTCACTATGTATTCAGTAGTACAGTTTTAGAAATGAATAATGCAAATATACAGTGAAGTGAATAGTGAGAAAAAAATCTGCTTAAATGTGAAAATAACATATTCGGACAGAATCTTATAATGACATTCGACATCATAATAACCTAAAGATAAAGTCTTTTCATTTACAGTACTGGTACTTTTTAATTTTAATAGACAAATAATACGACCGTTGGACAGATTGAAATTATTTATTTTTAGCAAAGACATAAATTACTTCAAAAAGCGTTAAAATGTCAGAGCTTATCAGAGCAAAAAACAATATGTTCCATGTATATCTTATAAAGTTATCAGTGTGAAGAAAGAACCAATAATTGAAACATTTGTTGGTGAGAGATACCTTCATACTGCCTTCACCAAATAACAAGTATATAATAGCATAAAAGACTGCAATAGAAAGATGTTTCTACTTGACAAAGTAGTTTATTGATTGTTAAACGCTGACAAGTTCGTGGTTTTTATACAAAAATAGTTATTCTAGTAGTATATTCATAAATACAAGGAGAAAATGTTTCTTTTCCCTTTTTATTGTAGTCAATCTAGTGTACATAAGCCAAAGTGAAGTCCGAACTACTTTGTAAAGTGCATCCCTCTAACCAACATACAGCTAGTCTGTTTAAGGCAAAACTATGAGCAACATTAAGGCAAGCGTTCTAGATTATCAAGAGGGTCAATGGGGACCAGTTCATTTAATCCATTAAATTAAACCACGAGAACCAACGTTTAATATCAAATAACAACTGTAATCCTATAGTTGGTTTTTATGGATCTCCAGGATATGTAGATAACGATCCGATATTTTAAACAATGCGAAAACTAGCACTCATGGGAAATGCAAACACATTTAACTGATAGTTCATAGAGAAAATTCAAGTATAAATAAATGTAATTTAAAAACCAACAAATAAAAAACACCATCAGCTGGATTGTTACGCTGAAACATCCCAGCCAAAAAGTGAGTATATTACGATGATTAAAAAATACAATTTAAACCTTAAGAGTATAATTGCTTACTCCACATAAGATACTTGAAACAACTGAGACAGTATTGCAGCTTTATCAACGTACTGTGAAAAAATAAAACTGAAGAAAGTAACTAGAGATAGAGTTGCTTCACAAAACGGGTTTATGTTTTTCATTCCTTTCATTTCAAGTAGAAAATAAGAATTCAATTTCCATTAACCGTGGTGCTTTTAAGGGGTGCGGTGGCTAGCCTTAAGTCCAATCTTCACTCTTTTTCGACCTTGTTACTATCTAGAAAACTAGGCGAGATTTATGAGTGTATTGAATGGGAAACTAATCCAGACCTCACAAGTAACTAGTGAGCATTCTGTCATTGAACTAGCAATGAAACACTTATCCCAGTACACAAGAAGGGATACAAGCCTCCCTATGATAACCACAGGGGGATTAAAGTTCTAGGCTCAATAATCATCCGTAGATTAAGTAGTACAAGGGAGGAACAAACACAAGAACCAGGAGAGCTTTAGACCAGGAGGAGGGCGTATTGATCATATCTTTAACCTTCGACAAATTCTGGAGCATAGGCATACTTACCGGCGTCCAAAAATTGTGATGTTTGTAGTGATTTGATTGACTGGTTACAGGATTTCGTCAGGAGCTGACATCGGTTAGAGAACCACTGGAAAACCTGCGAGTAGTGGGCAGCTGTTTTGTCCTAGTTTGGGACTCTTAATCAGCATGCACCCACCGGGCCCTATTAAAGTAGGTAGTTACCTGGGGTTGTAGTGGGAAGTCGTGACCAGTAGGGTACAGGAGAGAGGGCGTGGGGACAATTATTCGCCGAAGACATTGGCTAGCGGTCGCGCTATGTCGTGAATTGGCAGAAGTTGGAATTCATGGGTCATTGGAACGGGTCCTAGTGGCTTAATGGCCTATGGTCCCGCCTTGTAACCAGAAGTGTTAAACTAGGACTAAACAGCTGTCCAGTACTCCCAGGTTTTCCAACGGTTCTCTAACTGATGTCATCTCATGATGAAATCCTGTGACCGATTGCCATGTTTCTTGGTCTGAAGGCGGCATTCCGTTCCGTCGACCAAGTGTTACTATGGAGATATTTGGCTGTGACGGGAATGCCGAGAAAATAAATTGCATTGATCAAGACACTCTACTCGAACTCATGCAGTCAGATAAGAACTCACGGAGAGTTGTCATCTGAAGTGGTGACCACCGCTGGTGTCCATCAGGGATTCCCACGGTCCCCATTTCTGTTTAATTTCATCATAAATGTATCTGCTAATGGAATTAATCCTAACTGACTTCAGTGACTCAGAGATTGACTTGCTCGTGGGGAATAATCTTGTTGACTTAGGATATGAGGATAATATAATCCCCCTGGGTGAAAACGCCGACAAAACGAAGTCTTCTGAACTCGTCGAGCAGCAATCTTTGAATGTTTGATATGTGATTCACCCAACCAAATGTAAGATGATGCTGTAGTACTGCGCCACATGAACTCCTAGCTTAAAGATAGGGAGTGAAGTGATGGAGCGTGTTGACCACTTCACTTATTCGGGGAGTTATATCAGCCAACGCCAGCTAGTTGATAGATGACGAAATCTCAACAGGGATACAGAAGGTTCGTTTGGCATTTGCCAGCTTACGCCATCCCTGGTGTAGACGTGATATCCGGCTACCGATCAGACGGTGTATACTGTTCAGCAGTTCACTCTGTCCTCCTTTATGGCTGGCTGTGAGACAATGCCATTGAAAATGGAAGACATGAAAGTCATGCCAGCTAGCTGTCTTTGATCATAGGTACTTGCTCTCTTTTACCCGCGTAAGTAGCATAATAATGTGAACAGTACTGAGGTTAGGTTTCAGTCGAGTGCAAGGTAAGGAGGGGAAATCAATCGACGAGCCTCTTAGGTTACATCGATTGAGATGGTTAGGATATGTGTTACACATGCATACCTAGCTGTCAATCGCCTTCCTCGACGGGCAATGGTAGCTGACACATGATGGATCAGGTTGGAAAAGAGTCAGTGGTGATCAAACCAAAAACACTTCATCAGTCGATGAAAACCAAAAGAGTTAATTTAAGCCACGTAGGGATGTGTAGACTTCTTGATTGCAGTCTTTAGGATGGTAAGAACCAACGGCTGGGAACAATTGGTGATATGGCTGAAAATAGTTCTCATTGGCGCAGGTACATTCACTCTTTGTGATTTGTCATATCCAATGAAACTATTGTTTTCCCATATTACTATTCTTTTTCCCTTACACTTGCGTTTATGATCTCTCTTTTGGATTTCCCTTTGCTCTCTTCTCTTGCTTTGTGTGCTACATGGAGAATGGCAACTCGAACCGTTGCACATCTGTGCAAAGTTCTATGTTCAAATCAATCAGTCATATGAGCGCCTTGATAAGATTATGAGCAGTGAATTATGCTGTAAACATCATTAGTAAATAAAGAATACGGTATCATTGTGCTTTATCAAATATCTTAGTCTTAAACTTGTCAACCAAATGTCACAACTTCCATTACTACGGATACAATCGAATCACACATAACGTGCAGTTAGAGAACTAAACACTCCAATAGCCTAGAGTTAGTTTTCAAGAAGAATAAACACCTACAGAGGATAATTTTTCAGAATCTACCAAATTCAAGATTATATAATTTAAAATGAAATATAGAAAAACCAATTAGAACCTCATTAAAACAATAGATAAAAAGAATGAAAACAATTTAGTCCTCGAATATTTACCATAAAAAAATCAACAACAGCGGAAATATACCACACATTTAATATCATGTATTATTACCACACACACACTATAATGTCATTCTAATTATTTTCAAGAAAAATAAAACGTTTTGGTGAGAAATTGGCATTTGTTCACCTATTAAATCAATTTTCTGGTTGAAGTGTTTTGAAGAACAATGTAGGCATAGTGAATATAAACGAAATCTGTTGAATTCATACATCAACAAGTAGACAAGGAGAGGGATAGTAAAGTTAGTTAGATTCTTTGTTATACTCTGTACATATTACAAAATAACAGATTACTTCAAATACAATCATCAGGTCAGTCATAATACAAAAAACAAAATAAGAAAAATAATAAGATCATATAATCGGAACAATATACAAACAAAGTGAAATTGAATTAAGGCAGGGAAATAATCACACTTAAACAGTAATGATAGATAAATCAATTTGAATTATTAAAAAAAGATGAGCACAGCACTGTCGTAGTACAGCAACACTTCCTTTCATCAGATGAGGCGACTTCATCCAATACACGAAGAACACAGCCGTTTTACAGCATCCCTTCAAAAATAATAGGTAGACCATAGTGTATAGATGAAGCCAAAAATATTTGACATTATTATTATTATCCAATTGTGCATAGTTTTAATAAAAGATAAGATACAATCACGTGCGTACTACAAGATACAGTAGGAAAAACCGGTTGCTTACGTCTTATTGATATAAGGATAGAAGCTGGGCAATGTGATCGAGTATAATATAATTAAGGATGAAAAATTTATTTTAATAATGTTTCACAGTGTTATAAGTAGTATTTACTGATGACGTTTCGAGCACAATCTTGTTTGCTCATAATCATATCATATGATTATCAAAATAGAAATTCTATCCATAATGCTTATGATTTACAATCGAACGCACTACTTATCACAGGCTGGCAAATTAAGTGACGAGTGGAAGCTAGAGAGGATTTTAGTCTGTAGTTTAACCTTCACGGTAGTAATACATAGTCTATCTTTTATATGATCAGACAGGTTGAAAGTTGTCGTGAAATGGTTCATCACCAATTACATTACTTCAATTCTTACAACATTAAATTGTACGACAAGACTGGCCAATCCTACAACGCATTTATGAACACTGAGTTACATCAATTTGAGATGTCTCGTACATAAGTTAATTAGAAAACCTTTATGATCCAAAAATCAAATAATTTCAAGTTGAGTAGGTTATTCCGATGAGACGGCGCCCTAGATACTGTAACCTAGATAACATTTGGACGCAAATGTGGAAATAAACTTGCCTAGTTTCTTAACCATTCCTTAGCCCAGAGAAGAAGGGAGGTTGGGTGTAGGGGTTAGCACCCTCACCTCGTAAAACATCATTGCCACTGAAACTTCAAAGCACAGAAAAAATTTAAAAAACAAACTTATGCTTCCCTGGAATCGAGAAGGAAAAATGACACCAGAGGATGAAAGCTTTCACGAAGCCAGTCGACCGATTTGTCTTCTTCCGATTAAAGCAAAAATAAGCACATTCTCGGAATGTCCCTCTCGTGTTAGAGGCTAGTAGGGATCCTCATTCTAAAAGATATGAAAAAGTCTGGTACAGAAGCCCACGTAATCTTTGAGAACATTCGAAATAGAAGTGGACTCTCCAAATTGATAACAGGAGAGTTGACAACCTACTCCAGTCACCCAAACGATAACAACAAGCACACTGGCAGTGTGACTATCATGATGCAACAAGGTTCTCATTCAGCAGAAAATAATCTCTTCCAGGATAATGACAATACCATCCAACTTGAAATGAAAGTTACACACCAAACACCGCAAGTGAAGAAGGCGAAGAACTTGTACAGACACCTGCAAACAGTTACAGACAAGACTCGAAGTGGTGACATCAAAATTATAATAGGTGATACAAGTGTCAGCCCCAACTGGGAGCAGACATTACAAAAAGAGAACCCATCACAGGTAGAGATTGACACTTGATAAAATGAAGAAAATCAAAACAAATGATTCAGCGAAGAGACTCTTTTCAACGAATTTATCATCAAGCTGTACAATAGTATATATATATGGTTTTTTAAGAAGTTATATCCGGTGAGGGAATTAAATCATAGGTGTGAATGTATAAAATAATAATAATATGAAATGCAATTAAAACTAAAATGTTTGTGATTATAATCGTAGTTAAATGTCAAGCGGCAAAGCGAATTAATATCATACATAGAATAATTCATAGGATGGATAGAACTTGGAAAAGGGTGTGCAATTATAAGATTAGTAGACAAATCGAATCATGTCATTCTAAATCAATTACTTTTTACCACATTAGATTCTATGCTATTAGATTTCACACAATATTACGTAACGTTTTTATTTTATTCGATTTGTCTACTAATCTTATAATTGCACACCCTTTTCCAAGTTCTATCTATCCTATGAATTATTCTATTATTATTATTGTTCCCTTGGGTTCCTAGTGGAACATACGGCTTCAACTGTACGTCTCCACTTGCTTCTGTCTTCTGCTGCACTTTTCACTTGCATCCATGTTAGTGCATACTGTTTCAACTCTTCACATGATCTCCTCCATGTCACCCTTGAACGTCCCACTCGCCGCTTCCCTTTCGGGTTACACTCCAGCACTGGCCTGACGCGCGATGTCACCCAGCGGCCTCCTCAGCGAGTGTCCAATCCATCTCCACTTCCTCCTGCATATTTGTTGAGCGATTGGTTCTTGCTTTGTTTGTTCCCATAGTTTCTTGTTGGTGATTCTTCCCGGCCATCTGATCTTGAGTATAGAACGAAGACAGCTGTTGATAAAGGTCTGCAACAGGCTGTTGGAAATATTCTTTGTGACCCGCCAAGTTTCTGATCCGTATAGAAGAACTGACTGACTCGACGTTTGTATTGAAAATCCGAATTTTGTTGTTGATGGTGAGTGACGAAGATTTCCAGATTGGTTTCAGGTTGATGAATGTGTTTCTCGCCTTCCCGATTCTCGATTTGACATCCTCGTCCGTTCCTCCTGTAGTGTAGTTGAGACAATGCTCCCTAGATAAGTGAATGAAGTAACCTCTTTCAAATCCCTCCCGTTGATGGTGATTGGCGCTGGATGTTGCTGCTGTTGTTGTTGTTGGTTGGTTATTTTCATAACCTCCGACTTGTCTATGCTCACCTGGAGTCCTGTCTTCTCTGGCTGCTTCTTCGACCAGTTTGTCGGTTTTCGCTTGTAAGTCTTCGATTTTGTGTGACATCAAACATAAATCATCCGCGAAATCCAGGTCTTCTAGGTTCTTCACGTCGGTCCAGGATATCCCTGTCTTCTCGTTTCCCACTGTCTGACGCATAATCCAGTCCACCACAATTAGGAATATCATTGGTGATAATAAGCACCCTTGTCTGACTCCAGTGTTTACTCCAAACGCCTCGCTGAGTTTTCCGTTGTGGATCACTTGACATGTGCCCTTGTCGTACAGCTGTTGAATAAGGTTGATGAATATTTGGGGTACGCCATAGTGCTTGAGTAGTTTCCAAATTACTTCGCAGTCAACGCTGTCGAAGGCCTTCTCAAAGTCTATAAAGTTGAGGTAGAGGTTTGATTACCGTTCCATGCTTTGTTCGATGATGATGCGTAGAGTTGCAATTTGGTCAGAACATGATTTGCTTTTCCTGAATCCAGCGTGTTCTGGCCGGAGTTCTGGTCAAATAGCTACAGAAACTTCAACGCACAAATATGAATTATTCTATATATGACATTAATTTGCTTTGCCGCTTGACATTTAACTACGATTATAATCACAAACATTTTAGTTTTAATTGCATTTCATATTATTATTATTTTATACATTCACACCTATGATTTAATTCCCTCACCGGATATAACTTCTTAAAAAACCATATATATATACTATTGTACAGCTTGATGATAAATTCGTTGAAAAGAGTCTCTTCGCTGAATCATTTGTTTTGATTTTCTATGTTACAACGGGAATTTTCCATGATTTAAAAAATGAAGAAAAGCGGAGAAGTCTTCGCAGATTTTGGCGCATTTAATCATTTAGCGGTTGAAGGGAGCAAACAAAGGCACAAGCACCCTCTAACTCGTTCGAAATTAACACCAGCAGTAATAAAACCACCACAAAACACCAGAACTCTGACCAAACCAGAAGTTTTGAAAGTCATAAAATCACTCAAATCCGGGAAGGCAACATGATCCGAAGGAATCCTCCACAAGCACTTTAAACGGATTCAGAAAACCCAGCGGACATGCTCACACCACTACTGCAGGTGGGCAGGGGCGGAAAGACAGAAAGGTAAGTGTGGAATGGAAGAAATGCTACCTTGTCAAACTGTCACAGAAAGGTGACTGAAGGCTATGCTAGAAGTGGCGCTGTAACATGCGCCTGTCCACCTCCGGGAAAATATTAAAAAGATACCGTAAAAGATGTTCTGGGTGGGAGATTTCCTTCGGAACAGGATGGATTTTGGTAAAACAAGCCATGATCGGACCAAACTGCAACACTACGCATCATTATGGTCCTCAGCTCAGGAAAGCGGCTAACTCTACATCTCAACTTCATCGACTTTGTGAAAGCCTTCGACGTCGACCACGAAGCAATCTGGCAACACTAAGGAGTGCGGTAGACAGGTATGTAATAATACCGCATGCCGGGTTATTCACGATGGAAAGCTCACCGAAGCATCTGAACTAAAGACATGAGTAAGGCATACTGCCTATTATCACAAGTGACACGACCGGTTGTGATGGACTAGATCAACCAGTAGAGTGTGAGGACAGAGAAGAGGCATAGGATGAACCGACAGAAAAGCTCTGGATTACGCAAATTATATATCTCCAAGATATACAAGCGAAAACAAACAAGTTAACAGAAGAGGCAACAAAGACAGTACTTCATGTGAACACATAGAAAATAGAGGTAAAGGAGAAAGCCGATCAGCACCAACATGCACCCATTGACTGTATATTGGTTTTCAGAATAACCAAACATCAATCCTAGCTTTTTGCAAGGACACAAAGGTATGCCGTCATCCTCTAGAGCAAATATATGGGTGCATTGTACCCGACCGAAAGCTGCTACCTTGACGTGGTGGTCGGGCTTGAACACCGCAATGACCCAACAAGCTATACTGGCTGAGACTTATGTCGCTTGAGGTCCTACCATGCCAGAAAGGTTGTCTGGATAGCGGTTAGACAAAAAGCAGCTACCCAACCCAATGCTATGACTCAAACAAAATCACAAAATATCATGCCGGAACGGTCGGGGCTTGGATCAACAACGACCGCGCTTCCTGCTGCCGTGTCACATGGCAGAAGTGATAAATATGCTACTGAGACACACCAAATAAAAAAGAACAAACAAAACCAGCCCGCGTGTGACTGGCCTCAAGCAGTTGTCCCCTGGGCTGTGGTGACGCAACCAGCTTCCACGGTGTGGGCAGTCGGGAAGTAACAATCGCCCTCACAATCCAAAATGCACGCGAAACCTCTCTAATCCTCACTCATCTTTGTCTTCATCTTCATCTCTATTA